GTGTATATATACAGTATATTCTTTTTTCTTTTTTTTTTCATTTATAGTAGGGCCCGACCTCGGATGCCTATAGCCTTGTAGATTCAGAGATTGCGAAAATATCAATTTATTATGTTTGTATAAAAATCACCAAGTTCATTTGAATAATTTAAACTCTGCTCAGCTAGGTTTGGAAGTGTGTGTGTGTGGGGGGGTAGTTTGGGAATCACTGACTTATAGTATGGTATTACTTATGTTATTTGTGCAAAAATGTAGAAAGAACAAAAAGGCTGGTTTCTCTTCAGAAACAGTAATTTACCATGGTGCCTTACTATGCCTATAGCATGTTGAATGTGACTAATTCTCAGGTTTTGTTACGGTTATTGCTGTCAATATAAACTGAGCTCACAAACACACCAACAACAAACACGTAATCTCCTGAATGGCTCTACTACTGTTGAAATGAAATACTGACAAAGATATTGTTTGAATAATATTTTGTTTGCTAAAAAGATTATTTAAAATGTGCAAAAGAAAATGAAAAATTTACAGTACCTCACAGTCACTTTTCTTCAATTGAAACAGACTGATACCAAAGTGATACATCTTGTACATGTTAAGCTAGTGTGGAAGCACATTTGGCTGAGTCACAGTTGGCAGGTATGACAAACTTAACAAAAATATTTTTAGACTTGTCTATTGTGTGAAATGGTGAATACAGGCACAGTGATGGCTGTAAACAGAAAGAACCATCATCTTGTTTTTGGGGGATATTGAAAGCATTTAGCTCATTGGATTCAGTCTACCATAGTATTTAGAACAATTGTGAAGGACTGATTTCAACTGAGTCAGCTAAGTGTAATCCCACAAATAAATTTAATAAATGCTCTAATGTTAACAGCTGATATTGTCTATTAATTCACAAAATTWGAACAGAGCCACTGAAATAAATACCAGCCAACAAGGTCCAAAATCTTAAATGATATTTGCTTTTTATGTGGAAAGTAAGGTTATACACTCTATCCTTCAAGTTTCTTCTCAACTAATGATCAGTCATGATTGATGATTTTGCTTGAATGTCTATTTCCGTTTAGTGTTCATTGTCAAAAAGGAATTCCTACTTTTCAAWAGACAGACAATTTTATGCTTTTGTTTTAATTCTACAAATCAACCTTCAATAAAAAACACTAACAGAAAACAAAGGAAGAAAAACATTTTGATACTGCTATCAGTGTAAACATAGATCAGATATTCTTTTCAAACCTATTTCTTGGCACTTCTATTGGCGCTGCTGTGYTCGCATGGACGCTCTTCTTCTGGTTGTTGAGCTAACTCTCCGACTTTGGGTCCTCCCTYGTTGCTCTGCAGGATAAGCCACAACCTGAGAAGAGGATCTCCTTGCCTGCACACCCTCCAGTTCCCTCATATCCCTTGCCATCTGAGACAGTGTCTGACCTGGGTTGGTTTGCAGACGCTGGAAGAGGCTTTCCCTGTTTATTTTCTTTTCTAGACAGTTGAAGGTCACTGCAACGCCGTAATCGGACTTCATTTCTCTGGAGAAACCATCTGACGTTCCATCAAAGCAGCGCCCAATGGCRATCTCTTTGGCTACCCTAGGGTTCTGGTCTGTGACTGTGTAGATGCCATAGTTGTGTCCCAATGGATCAACAGGCGCTAACATGGTGAATGCTTGTGACTCATTGTTGTGAGCAATTGGTGGATGTTTAATAAGGTACTCCTGTAGAAGACCATTAATACTAATTCTGCGACAGCTGCTCTGTGGACTCAGTGATATGAGAGATCTGTCCACCTCTGCCTGATCAAACAACATGCCACTACATTTGAACTCCACACAAGCAGCAGAGGTGTTGGCCTCTCGCATGTCACGAGTACTGCGAATGTCTCTAATACCATATAGTTTGCCCCTCGTCTCCGGATGTGTTCCTCCCAGGTTTCTTGATCGGATCATTATTTCCTTCTGGCCATGAATTTTAACTTTAATGTAGCATGCTCTAAATTCCTGGGGGTTAGGCCACCAGGAAAGGTAGTCTCTTGTCCATGTTGTCAAGTCATTCTCCTCAAAGGGAACAACATTGTATTCATACTTGTCCTTTTCCACTCTGAAAAATCTGAAATGATTGGCATCCACAGGAGCATTTTCACAACCTAATAAATTCTGATATGGATATATTGGTCCATTAGTCTCATCAAAATTGTTTTGATTAGGCTTTGCCAAATTAATTCTGAAGGCTGTTTTCTTCAGAGCTGGATCGTCATGATCACTACGCTGGTAATCTAGCTTGTCGAGATATGGTTGAGTCACCCCGATGACATTTGGATTCATCTTGGGAGAGGAAGGGGCTGCCTCCAGCTCTTCTCCACCTAGCATTGCTGTAACATAGGCTGTGTAAGCATCAGGCCTCATTGCATCGCAGAAGGCTGGTAAACACGCTCCATTGGGTCCAGTTAAGACACTGTCAAAGCGGCCCCATGCCCTGGGATTTGATGAATAACCAGGTTTGGGTTCTAAGTTAATCAAGCTGATTACAACACCCTCCAGCTGTTCAGAAGGTAGGAATTTGTCGCTCATGTATGCACGCACTTTCACATAACAGCGCCTGTTTTCAGGTACATCTAAATTGAACAGTCTACGTTCTCTGATCTCCATGTTGCCTATGAGGAACGTGCGCTCCTCACGTTTGCTTCGTCCATGACCACCAGCAGTGGTTGTGCTGTAGGAGAAGTCAGCCTCCTCTTCCCAGATACCTGTCTCTGGGTTTAAGGACCACAACTTCATTTCAGGAATGTGCTCTTGCATTTTAACATGCTGTGTATCAAGGAGGACTTGGACTTCCCCAGCTCCAAGAACTTCGTTGTTTGTTTCATCTCTAAAGTCAACTGAAAACATGCCATAGGTCCTCAAAGGAAGCATGTCACCATCGTCATTCACAAAGTTGAGATCACCAGGGGCTGCAGCTGCCRTAGTGATGTTTCTTGGATCGATGAATGTGACGCTGGCTTTCACAGTCCCCTCATAGGTCTCTCCACTGTCTTTATGGAAAGAATTGGGTGGAATGACCAACTGTCCTATGGGGTCTTCACCTTTAATTTCTCCTAAGTCAAAAAAATTGGTTTCTCCTGCATTGATATCAATTGGCATCTGCTTCCTCATCACTTTCACATTGTGATAAATTGAGCCACTCTTCTTGTCAAAAATGAACACTTTTGGAGTRTCAATAAACGTCTGAGTGGGGTCAACAAAATTTACGACTAATCTTTGAGTCTCTGGAGCAATTTGTAAAGTGAACCCTCCTTGGTATCCAGTGGTACCCACTCTTTCTTTACCAATGTAGATGTGCCCAAAACGTAAAGGGTCATCATTGTCAGCTGCGACAACTCTGCCTCGAACCAGAACAGTGGGCTGCACACAGTTTAGACAACTGCACTGTGTCACTGCCCGGATAGGGAGCTTGTAGTTACCACAATYAATGATTTGATTCTCCATCTTCTGGACTCCACAGCAGAGCCCAGCTCCATCTCTGCAGTGCATGTCAAAGTCGAGGGAACCGGCACATTTGTTGAGAGGACAGCGACCAGCATTGTAGTATTTGGAGGCGGTTCCAGGTTGAACGCAGTCCATTGGTAGTCTGATGAGGTGTGACTCAGGGGTGGAATTGCATGCTGGTGTTCCTTCAGCTGTGATAAAGATGATAAAGTACATTAAGCTGTTGATCTAAAAAACTTGAACCAATAAAGTGAAAAAATTTTGATGCACTTATTTTTATCTGAAAAACAAATTAAATGAATTAAACCTGCTAGTCAAAAGCACAACTTCATATGGGGATTCATAAGCATTTTAAAACAAAGAAACCAGATTTCTTATCTGTAGAAGACATTTCACTTTCAAATTTGGGACCTTTTTCAATTTAAAACTGGAACTGGGATCTCATGCAGTTTAAAGATTGGAATGCTGGACTTTATTTATTAAATCTCCTCAGATACATAGTGAAACATCTGCAATGACAGATTAGATGCCCACTTGCTTTGTTTTAATATTTTTAAGAATTCCTATTTTGTCCTGGGTGACTGAGAATTTACACCATGTTCTTGTTTTTGCCGTAATCTGACAGAACTTCTGATGGACTGTGAGACATTGTTGAGTATGCTGTAATTGCATATTAGAGTAATAGGAATAAGACTGATGTAAAACAAATAAATTATTTTTTATTTCAGTTTGAGTAATTTATGAGTTTGTATTATAAACACACACTCATAGAATGCCTGCATGACATGAAAGTATCTAAAGGCTCTCGTCAGTCCTATATTAAGGTWTGTTCTGGCCACCTTGGTGTGTCTTCTAAATGGAGAAAGTTAAGGGGATAGGTTGAACACAGCCCACTTTTAGTATGCCTCTGAGCAGCCAAGCTGCGGTGTCACGGCTGAATTATGTGCGACTGCTCACTCGTAGAATCAAACAATTTGATTTATTACCATGTGAATACTCATGATGATGCACAGCAGTTTTTTTTAGTTTAAAAAATTTTAACCACAATGAGGACTGCTAAAGCAAATTTATTTGTTGTGTTTTGGAATTGATATAAGGCAGATGTCCGTCACACATTTAAAGGGGACATATCATGCAAAATCCAGTTGAATACATTTTGTTATGTACTTGGATTCTCTAGGAGTGCAGCAAAGTTAAATATAGTCTCTCCCAGTGCTGCATAGATATCTTTATATTCTGTCTTTCATATTTTTCATCCCATGCAATTTTYTCTATATTTTATTGTGTTTTCTGAACTACTTACATTAGTATTTGCAAATAAACTTATAAATACGGTCTGTTCTCGCCAATTACAGTTGGGTTGTCTTCATTCTCCTCTGGTTCTGGGTCAGACTCTGGCTCCAACATGTAAGGTTGGATAGACAAGTCTTCCCTTGTTGACATATTTTATCTTATTTGTAAATACAAGTTTCTACGCCACTRTATAGTTGTAAACACCTCTATCAAACTAGAATGGACCACTCTGGAAACTAGAGTGGGATAGGGTGTGAAGTGTCTAATTGGGATTTAAAGAGACRGCCTCAAAATGAGTTGATCTGAGACCCGCCTCAGAAAAGGGGTGAAAGAGGGGCTTGTGGAGTTACTATAAGGAGGAATTCAGACCAAAGCATTGCAGTTCCACTTTATTTAAACMCCAACTGAATGATTTAAATGTGGAAAAAGAAGGATTTAAAAGCATGGTATGTCTCCTTTAATGTGTCATGCTCTTCTTCAGCCCAGATGAGTTCAGCTCCACACTGCCCGCTTAATTTCTGAAAGCTTGTGTCTGTGCAGGATGTGGCTGGATTCATTTGGGATAGTGAATGACCAGAGGGATCATAAATACAAATTGGTCTGTGAGGCCATTTCACAGAACTGTTTTCTGTAAAAGCCTTACATGTCCAAGTTGGAAAGTAAAGCACGAGTGGAATTATAAATATACACAATGGTAAAGAGAATTTTTATTTACTTTCTTACAGGGAGCTGGAAAGAAAAAAAATCATTGTCTAGGCATCAAGATAATTTTTATCTATAAAGCTGTGAGTGTCAAGTACCTACTTTAGTCTATAGTCTATGATCTGTGGATAATAAATTTTGACAGTCTGTTTATTACAAAAATAGACTAATAAATTATCTGTTTTAAAAAGAAAGACATTTTCACATTTGCCATCCTGGAATAAGATTTGCGTCATTTTGTGCTCACACGCAGTGTCTCCTGCTGTGACGACTGGGAGAGCAGGGATTTGTTTGTGGCCTGAGGTAAAATGTTTTGAAGTATTTTATGTAGAACCTTCATGTGAACCTGTCTTAATGAGCATCTAAATAATAAACACAATGCAGCTCTCTGACACAAATGTGGTGACAGAAACCTGTTGAGACAGAAAAACAAAAAACTGAATTAATTTTGGGTTTTCATCTCAGTGCCAAATGCTRTGGAGATATTTTGTTTGAGGTTTTACAGTATCCAGAGCTGTCGCACACAGTAAGAAACCCTTTTGAAAGCTGAAGTTTCAACCAATGTAAATACAATAAAACTTGTGCACCAGATTGCCATGATATTTTTTTAGCCTTTTTTCGCCGTCAGTGCAGAAGCTGACTTTTTCCTTCCCTGGAGTTGCAGGATGCTGTGGTTTTATTGGATTCTTTTTAATGCATGAAATGGCTCAGKGGGTGAGATGGTTGGAGCTCAGCGCTGGCATTCATTCCTCTTAAAGTTTGTGTTCAGTCTCTGCAGCCGCTGCTCTTTATACAGCAAACTAATTTGTGGTTGTTTGGTTTTTGTCAGTGGTTTTACTTGTGGAGGACTAAATATACCAATTTAATTAAAATCAGTTTATTTRTCTAGCACAATTTCACAACAAAAGTCATCTCACTGTACAAAAACATTCACATGCATTATAAAATACTGATTAGTAAAGGTTGTCTAACTAAAGAAGCCAGAAGATTGCTAGCCTGGCCCTTGCCTTCCTATGCAGTTCTGCTCAATTCTAGTTTCCCTTCACTGCTCYGTCTGGGACTTCTCCCATTGAGAAGGATTTTGCTGGCAGATTTTTAGCCGGGCCAATCAGAGAAGAGAACGTCAATTTTCTGAACAGTGTCTGCTTGTAGTTTATTTTACCTCGGCCAATCAGCAAACAGAAGGAGTTTTGAACGAGGTTGATTTTCTGCACAGTGTCTGCTAGTTATTTTAGCATACAGCAGTGGAGGAAGTGAATGAAGCCAGTCTGTGTTGATTAGGCTTCCAAATTAAAATAAATTTGTCTGACAAAGCAGCAGCTCTCATTTACAGTCATCTTATTCGGCTCGGTATATTTCTCCTGTCAGTAGGGTTGTTTACAGCRCACGCGATTTCTGGTTAGCTTCTTAGCTTAGCCTCCTTCACAGCGACATACGTCGCAGCCAACTGATCCAATCATTTTAAACTTCAGCAGAGGCCACCCCTCCAGCAAGAAATCGATTCTCTATGCATCAAGTCCAGACCCTAGTATGAAGCAAAGTGAAGGACAGGGTCTGGATTAAACCAGGCTAGAAGATGGCATCACATCTTCACTTTGTCACGATCTGGCCAAAAACATGCATGTAAGGTTGCCTTCTGAACCAGGCCTCCCTTTCAAAATAGATCTGTGATCTCACTGGGATTTGCCGGATAAATACAGGTTAATAAAATAATTAAAATAAAATCTCCCATCGTGAGCGGCACATTGACCACAGTAGAAAGTGAAAACTCTTTTAACACAAAGAAACCTCCATCAGAACCAGCCTCAGACAAATACAGAATGGTTGGTCCAGCTTTCAACCTCCTAGAGGAGTTAGCTCGCCATCCTTGGTTGGCGCAGTCATGAGGTAGCCTGGCCCTTGCCTTCCTACGCAGTTCCACTCAATTCTAGTTTCCCTTCTCTGCTCCGTCTGGGACTTCTCCCACTGAGATGGATTTCGCTGGCAGATTTTTAGCCGGGCCAATCAGGAAAGAGAACGTCAATTTTCTGCGCAGTGTCAGCTTGTAGTTTATTTTACGTGGACCAATCAGCAAACAGAAGGTGGGGTTTTGAATGACGTCGATTTTCTGTGCAGTGTCAGCAAGTTATTTTAGCATACGGCAGTGGAGGAAGTGAATGAAGTCTGTCTGTGTCGATGAGGCTTCCAAATTAAAATTAATTTGTCTGACAAAGCAGCAGCTCTCATTTACAGTCGTCTTATTCGGCTCTGTACTTCTCTCCTCTCAGTAGGGTTGTTTACAGCAGTGGTTCCCAAAGTTGGGGTCAGGACCCCATGTTGGGTCCTGAAACATCGAGGTGGGGAAGAAAAGATTTCATTAAAAAATTCTAATAACTTTTCCTTATTACAGAGGAGTGTGGTTAAGATTGTTAAGATGTTCCTATGCCCTTGTTTATTTGATCTGACTTCAATGTATAACAGCCAAATGTAGTTGGAGGCGCAGGTCTCTGCTGCTCTTTTATTGGTCAGAAGCTCAAAAAGTTTGGGAACCACCGGTTTACAGCACACGTGATTTCTGGTTAGCTTCTTAGCTTASCCTCCTTCACAGCGACAACACATATATGCTTCAGCAGAGGCCACGCCTCCTGCAAGAAACGATTCTCCATGCATCAAGTCCAGACTCTTGTACGAAGCAAAGTGAAGGACAGGGTCTTGTTTTAACCAGGCTAGTCATGAGGAGAAAAAAAGTTGTTTTGGAGCACTTCATGGATTGTGACCACCTGATCCAGAGAGCCCAGCTCCTCTGCCTCATTTATCAGCCAAATCACCCTGTCAGCACCGAGACACCCTCCAGCACCAACCAAGTCACCAAGTCCCTCTCCAGAGGAAGATCAGCCTTCTATGATTATCTGTGTGTTTTGGTTACTTATTGGTAGTTGTTTGAATTTGTTTTTAGATTTATTCCCTTCATGGTGAGTTTTATTCTACTTCTGTATGGTTCTGTTACTTGTGTTTTTGTCCTTGTGACATTAGTTTCTCTAAGTCATTTGATAAATCCTTGTTCCTCCTGAGACTGTAGCTGTGTTTCCATCCAATTTTAATTCGAATTTTGTGAATTTTTAAAAATTCGCAAAAAGGAGAAAAAAACAAATAAATGCAAATCAGACACATTTTCAATTGGCTGGAAGCGAATCAATTATGTCAGAGGCATGAGTGTAGTAAACAGGAAGTAAAAGTCGCATCTCAGGAAAATGGAGAGAAGTTATCGGGAAAGTTGTATTTTTTCCGTCATATCAACTAGTTTTGGTGATGTTACATGCTGTCTGGAGACGTAGAGAAAGAAATRCATTTTTCTTCACATTACAGGAATAACTGAAAATATGCCGACAGCGGGAGGAGGGTCCAGCTGCAGTCGCGGCTGCAGTTGCTCTGGTACCGGTGCCAGTTTCGGACAGAMAGAGAGAACAGCTGATCAACATGTTAGGTAAATGTTCGCTACGTCAGAACTTTTTCGGCAAATGTGTTTCCATCTGTCCTTTTGCGCAAGTCTTTTTCTAAAAAAACACAAAAAACACCTCAAGCGAGCGTATCAACTTTTATGCAAATTAGAGGAAGTTTTTCCGAATCATGCCATTTCCATTCACCTTTTCTGATGCGATACTTCAAAATGCGCATTAAAAATCCTTGATGGAAACACGGCTTGTGTAAAGTTTTGCTGCCTTGTCAGCATTTTTGTTTTGCTTCTTTTAATTAAGAAGTTTTTTTAGCTCTTTGTGTTTGTTTGCAATCAGGGTCAAATCTTCTGCCAATTGTGACAGAAATCTTTATTACACATGTATTWTAATAAGAATTTAATGTTTTATGTATGATAAACTGTGGTATACCTACCAATCACAGTAAGGAGGGCTGGGGTGGACTTGATGCTGCCAGCAGGGCTGCTGGCTTTGCAGTAGTACTCTCCTGAATTTTCTTGTTTTAGATTGCGGAGAATAAGATCCGCCTCATACTTGTACAGCTTTCTGTCCAGCAGAGTCCCATTGTGGTACCTGATTGCATTTTTCAATATAGGAGGACAAAACAGGAGGACGTTTGACCCACAATATCCAAGTCTAACAGTTACATCAGTGAGTGTATCAAAATCTTAATGTGATATAAATCAAAAGATAAAGTTATCAAATAGCTATATATTGTTTCAGTAGTGCTGTATATCTCACCAATAATATTTGTCAGGAACCGGTGATCCCATTGCTGTGCAGCACAAGAGCACCCGTCCTCCTTCATAACGCACCTTTTCCTCTGGGTGTTTCACAATGTAGGGCTTTTCTGTGAAAAGCAAAGAGCAAATCTTATGACCCTGACTGTTGTGAATAGTGAGGCACAGGGTAGACTTCTTTAAACTCAACCATGTGTACACTTTATTCTTACATTGGTCTCCTTGGACATGAAAAATTGTTATTGAGAGATTTGCTTTTTCAGAACCAGAACAGTTGTATTTTATGGGGTTTTCTTGCAACCAAAGAAGTGGTCTGGACTATGTMAAACCTTTCATAAAAGTTTTAGTCTGGTTTGTAGTTGGTACATATTTCCATTCAGTCTGGAACTATGATTGATACAGCAATAAAAATCCAAACACWAAATACTAAAAACACAATATTTAATGACTCTGGTCATTGGCACTCACCTGCTGATCTGAGCACAGCTTGCAACCTGGACACCCCTGTAGCATTACTGGATGTAGAGACGTTGACTGGGGCAAACTTCTCCTTSCTGATGGTGATCAAGCTTGAGCTGGAGGAGCAGATTCCTTCAAGCCTGAACTGTCCTTTATTGTCCGTAGTAACACGGATGACATYAGGATGGCTGGCCAGAGCTACTGTGGCGCCTGCTATGGGGAATCCAGTCACACTTTGGACATCTCCGTACAGCTCGTGGCCAACACAAACACAGATGCTGCAGTCCTCACTAGGACGGCCTTCTGTGCAAACACGCTGGCATTTTGCTGTTTGTCAAGTAACATACATGAGTGTCAAAGACATCAAACAAATGAGTCTAAAAACTTCTAAATGCAGTGGGAGTTAGTGTACCTGGGCATGGATTTTTTCCACACTTCTGGACTTCAACAGCTCGTCCTTTACAGTGAACTGTCGCTGATGTCCTCACACAGGTTCTTCTTCTGGTCCGGCGACCTCCACCACATGTTGCTGAACATGTCCCCCAGACACCCCATGGATGCCATTTGGCTAATTGCATAAAATTACACATTATAATTTGTTTTTGACATTTCGCCATTGTATTTGTGATTAAACTTTAAACAGTGGATCAAACTGTYTTCTCTGTAAACAGTGGGGAGCATATTAGAACAAAACTGGTCCAATTATACTGTTTTCAGCTTTAAATAAATAACTATTATAATATTACTATTACAACTGGACTATTCAAGAACTCTTGAACAATATAATGGAAACGTTTTGCAACAGAATATATTCAGCACTGAAGCTGTTTTCCCTAATAAGCAGATAATGGTATTTTTCAAAGTTGAAGGCCCTAAACTGTAACCTAAACTGACAATATTCTAGCTTTGGAAAATGTTATGTTTAGAAAATAAAAAGCAAGCTTAAATTACTGCTGAGTTTTATGCAAACAAAATCTTGTTCCTTAAAATATATTTGTTGTCCACTTTATTGATTTATGAATAATTCTCCACTTGGATTTCAGTGATAAGTGTTGACATGGTKAATAATTTGACAAACGAATATGAATTGTTTTACTTTACCAATTTATTGTCATCATTTACTGTCATTACCTGTGCATGGTGGGCTGGAGCACTCCCTCCTCTCTGAATGGTGTCCCTGGCATGCTGGCACAAACAGAAGAGGCATGGGCTGAGCACTCACACATTTCCTCTTCCGAACCTGGACTCCCACATCATCACAAGTAGTGGTGGAACAGGGTCCCCACTCACTCCAATCAGTCCAATAACTCTGCACTGCACACACACACATATTAAAGAGATTAATCTTACGTTGAGCGCTTTGATCATGTACAACTTTTTTAAACAGCATGTAATTGTGTGACTTCCAATATGGTCYTCCTGTCACCAGGATTACCTGGAGGACATTGAAAGCGAACATGGTAGTTGGAGCAGATGTGGCCATACGGCTGTTCTTTGTTGATGCACCAGAAGCCCTTCTCCAAACTTGAGTGGACCACTTCCCCGGTGTCTGCAGCTGCCACCCAATCTGTGGTGCGAGCCTCCATGGCTGTAGGGCGAGAACAAATTCGYTCTCTGTAGTAGAAACGAATCGCCTCCAGACGCTCATAGTCCCCATTTCCACCMGGATGGTCGATGTTGAACCAAGGCGTCCACTCAGTCACACCTTGGAGCACACAGAAAGAAGGCATAAACAAACAAAGAGAAACAATAAAACTAGAATTATCTATGAAGGTAAAATAAAACATCATGGCTCCAGYATGTGGTTTATTTTTTATGTTATGGTTTATTGTAAATGCTGAAACYATTCACTTAGCAGCACAAGCCAAGCTTTCATAACTTCTTTCTCTCATGTCGGTCCCAAGTTCAGGCAAATGGTGAGGGCTAGGTCAGAAAAGCCATTCAGTATAAAACACTTTGGCCAAAGCAAACATTCAAGTTTATTCATTTTGTTGTTCAAGGAGTTAAACCTTTGTATTTTTCTTTTTCTTATAAACTAAAGATTATTTTTGAATGAATTTATTTATTTGAGAAAAGGAGCAGATATAATAAGAT